TGGCCTGGGAGCGGCTTGGGGTCCCCGGGAATGAGCTGGAGGAAGTTGCGGGGGACAGGGTCACCTAGGATTCTCTGCTCTCCCAACTGCTACCGCGACCCTATCTGGACTAAGCGGTTAACGACGATGATGATGATGATGATGAAAAATAACAAATTGGAAAGGGCAAAAGTTAAACAAACAAATCAGATCTTCTAGGGATACATGTGGTAACAAGTAAATTAAGTTTTATTCAACCTAAATAAATACATCGATGAAACACACTTTCAATCCAAGTAATTTTTTGGGTTGAATAAAATTAGCTAATTTACTTGTTACCGTGTGAAGTAACGTTTTTAGCTTGCACCTTGCACTTTGAAGTTAAAACCTTTTGCATTTGTAGAAATGGCTGCATTCATGGCTATTCAAGAAAAATAAACTAGTTGAATGTATACATAAATAATAATGATCCTAAAATTTTGTTTGGGATGTTATCCTAGAATTACAAGAGGTGATCACAAGACATGCCAATCTTAAACTGAATGCACTCCAAAAGTGAACTGTGCTCCTTGAATGATATATTGCTGCCATCTGCGGTCCTGCATGGATATAATATTCTTACATTTTCATGAGATAAATACCTTAACATAGATATTCAGAGAAATTTGTCTTGAAAAAATGAGATAATTGAGAAAATTATTTTTAGATAATTCATTTGAGAAAAAATCTTTTTGCAGGTCATTTTGCAGGCAGGAGGCTTTTTGTGCATTATCAAATATCCATGTTCTTTTTTTTGTTATCCATGTCCTTTTGCAGGCTTTGTAGTTTGTTACAGACATTCTCAAGCTCTAACGCATGAAAGAAATACATAGTGCTTTCATTTTAAATTATATATAATGAACTATGCAGGTGATATTGTTAAAATGAAGTTGAAGCAATTAAAACACTGACTGTCTGTTTGTTTCCACAGCAACCATTCCAACCAACTACAGCTTTGACCCCTGCTATAACTACACTGATCTTGATGATGACTGGAGAAAAAGTATCAACAACTACAGGTCCACATACAATAGAGGTTATGACGACACTGTTGTTGAGTGGGACGGCTGGTATCGGCTCTTTTATCATGGAGAAAATGCTCAGATTCTAGAGGGCTGTGTGAGCTACATGGAATGTGGTGGTTACACTTCACTCTGGCTTGGTGGCTCTCATCCACAACCAGAGGACGGCATCGTCACTCGAGAAATCTATGCCTCCAGAATTGATGAAAACTATCAAAACCAGTGCAAATACTACAGATCATCCAACCCAATCCAGGTGAAAGCTTGTCCAGGTCATTACTATGTCTACAAACTCGTCAAGCCAAATGTGTCACTCATAATGCCTACATACTGCACAGGTAACAAAGCTATTTTGCTTGTGTTATGTACTTTTCATCTGTTTCTAAATTACAACAAAAGGATTTTAAGGATAATTAACTATAAGAAAAACAATGTCATCTTGTAGTATATACACTATAAAACTCTTTCACATAATACATTAAATTATCTAAATGTTGCTTAAAGGAAAAATGACTGGGAAAATTTTTGAGTTCAGAACATACAGTATAAAGACATTTCCAACTGAAAACATACACTACTGCAAACGGTATAATGTGTCTGTTACAGTTACATTCACCAAACTAAGTTATGATCCCTGCTACAACTACAATGTCCTGGATGATCCTGGAAGAGCTACAAACCAAACACACAACAGCTGGTGGTGTGACACCGGCGTGAACTGGAATGGCTGGTATCGTCTTCTATATCAGGGAAATAATATCCGGATGCCAGAATCATGTGTTAGTCAGGGCATGTGTGGTACTGGTGTTCCTCTCTGGCTCAATGGTTCTCACCCACGACTGGAAGATGGAGTGGTCACTCGGCGAGTCTGTGGAAGCTGGAACAATGACTGCTGTTATTTTAAGTCTTTCTCCATTCAAGTGAAAGCTTGTCCAGGAAATTACTACGTATATGAGTTTGTCAGTCCAGTCTTCTGTTCATCAGCCTACTGTGCAGGTAGATTTGGTTATTGGAATCCAGAGCATTTCATTATAGTTTTTCTCTACTTTTTAAAATTAATTTATCTCATTACAGATGTTGGTAGCATTACTCCAGTTACTGACCCAGAGATCCCTGAAACAACTGAATCTGTAGATTCCATAACCATCACAACTACTACAGGTAAAATATTATAATACTTTGTTAGGAGACCTCATAACACTTTATAAATCAATCAATCAAATAATATTTTTTTCGTGCTGAAGTTGCTCATATACAGTACTCACCTGCCTACATACCTTTGGGTCTTGTTCTGCCCACCTGCTCCACATATTAATCACCTAGCAGACCTTAGGGACTCAGTGTCACTGTGCAGTCTGAGCTTTTTTTTATCCTGTTTGACGTTTTGATAATGCTTTGTACTTTGACTGTAAGCATTAGCATTTTGATAAATGTGTCTGCTGCATTGTTACTTCATTCCTCTGTTTATTTATTTATTTATTTATTTATTTATTTATAGTGGTTGTGGACCCCTGCGCAGATCAGAACTGCACTGAGGATGAGTGGTGTGGGGAGAGAGATGGCATCTATGGCTGCTTCTGTAATGAGACTCATCCCAGACATGAGTCTTACGGTACCAGCAAATTTTAACAAGCACAGACACTCAAAGCACTTTCATTAAAATAATTTCTCATACATTGTTCCATTTCTCCTCTTTCTGTGTTCCAGACTCCAGAGAAACCTGCGAGAGCAGCTCGGGCTCCATGTCTCTGTCCCGCTGTCAGCTCTTTGAAGCCGGTTTTCCTGCTAATGTCCTGCACCTGAATGACCCCAGCTGCAATGGAACTCTCCAAAACGGCAGACTGGTGTTCCACTTTGATAACGATGACCACATCTGTGGCACAAATCTCATGGTAAACTAATTAGAAACCATAAAGATTGATTTACTCTCAAGCATGTTGCACTATGCTGGCACTTGTAAATAGAGACTACATATAACAAATGTAAAAATGGTCATACAAGTGTACACTCTCAGAAAAAAGACATTGAACTGTCACTGGGGTGGTACCCTCAATAGCATGCCTTCAGCACCTTTAGTTTGGGAACATGATACTATATTCCAACAAAATTGCATTTTTCTAAGCTATACTGACCCATGCTGTTTTGTCTCTAACCTTTCATTTTATTGTTTTGTCATAACCATTAGATTATGAAAAGGCACGATTTAGTTTATGTACCTTTCCCCTAGAAAAACTTATTTAAGGTACACAGTTGGACCTTAAAACTATTGTTGCATATTTGAGGGTACATTTACATTCTTTATACCTTGATGAATGATAAATATACCTGCACAGTACTTTTTTTCTGACAGTGTAGATGCACAGATTATGTTTTTTGTCATGTTATTTGAGAGAAAGAAAAAAACAAAGATTTTTCTGAGGCATTTCCATCACAAATATAACTGTTTACAGGCCAATGGCACTCACTTCATCTATGAGAACTCTATCCAGGGAGTGGCTGACTCAGCAGGAGGAGCCATTAACAGAAAGAAACATCTGGAGTTGCGTTTCGCCTGCGTTTATCAGCTCAGCCAGACACTCACCATGGACACACAATTCAACCCTCTGCAGAGGTGGGACAGATTATCAAATAAATGACCCTAAATTGCCCTGCTGGCAAATGACAAATGATTTAAAAAAGAAATACTTTAAGAACCTAAGAATAATATATTATAAATACAATTGGCAACACTATATATATTAATAATAATACATCAAAAGACATCTGTGAGCTGTTACTTTAGAATTTGCTAGTCATGTACTAATTAAGTATTTACTAATGAAGAATTACATATCATTAACCCCCTAAATTCTCAAGCTTTTTGCATATTAAGGCTTATAATTCAGTAACTACAGGGACTTCAATACAAACTGATTGAGTGATTCTTAGTTTATAGAATATAGTGATAAAACTTTAACTGACCATTTCTTACTTTGTAAGATGCACATAAACCATTACAAATGACTTAAGTTATTCATGCAGCCCCTAATGTTATAGGACTTCTTCCTGGATCCACCCTCTTCTGTCTCCTCCTTTGTAGCCCCGCCTCATAATTAGTGTTTCCGACTGTGTATAGTTTGTCACATATCTATTCCCAGGTGGTTTCTATTCTTGTAGGTAAAAGCAGCTCATGTGTTTCAGTTTGCCTTGTCTGGCATCATTTGCTTCATGTTCTGTTTACGGTGTTTATTGTTCATTAATTTTAATCAACTTACGCCTACATACTAAATAGCAGTCTGATTATCCATCACACCTTCTAGAGGCATCAAGGCAGGATGGATAGGATCATTTACATTAACTTTTTTATGGACTAATATCTCCTATTCAAGTGTATAGCAGTGTATATTGAGGTTGTTTATGGATTAATATCTCATAAGAATTTAGGGAAATGATGTATGGGCATTGATAGATGTTCACATGAACTCATACATAATTTGTAAAAGATGAACAAAATAATGTTTACCAAATCATTTAAGGACAAAAACTTTTAGCATTTTTTTTTCTTGTATTTTTTCAAAATACACAATGGTTTAGCAGCTAGATTTTTATATTTATTTATTTATGATGAATGAATTCAAAACTAACACAAAAAGTAGGTTTATGTTAGCATAAGTAGACTGTTGCTGTATGAACTAATAATGATTAAATTTCTGGTTGTTACATGATTTGTTAATTATGAGGTAGACGCTTATTACTTCATTGTGAAGTAAGAGCTTATATCACTGTTACAAAGTTCATGATGAATAGCTCTAAATACCTGATTAGTTCATGATTAATTAGATATTAAGTAAGAGCTAATAAAGTCTCTTATAAACATAATTACAAAGTGTTCCCAGTTATTTTATTACTAGAATGGCATTAACACTATATGTGACAGCAGTCCACCATTTATAACGAGCTTGTGATTGGATATTTCAACAGCATAGTGCACAAGACCCTTCCAGATGGTCAGGGGATGTACCAGCTCATGATGATTCCCTACCAGGATGCTGCCTTCTCCTATCCTTACAATGGCAATGTGGGCATAAAGGTGGACCAGCGGATCTACGTGGAAGTGAAGGTTCAGGGAGTGGACAGCCGTCAGATTGCCACAGTGATAGATTCATGTTGGGCCACTCCTGTGAATGACCAGAACTATGCTGTCCGCTGGGACCTCATCATTAATAGGTAAAGAAAAGCCACGGAATGGCTTTTTCAGTGTTATTTAATTGTCTGCCTGTACATTCTAATCTTAATTCAAAATGGCCTTCACTGATTTAAATACTTTCAGGTGTCCTAATCATGATGACAACACATTGAAAATGCTTCAGAACGGTGTCTCCACAGCCAGTCATTTCTCCTTCAAGATATTTGCCTTTAACGGCAACTACTCCAAAGTTTTTCTTCACTGTGCCATCCACCTTTGCCTTCTGCAGAACAGCAACTGTGCAGCGGTCAGTTTTGACATCTAATCACTAAAATATTTTGCCAGCATCATTTGTGTATTTGTAAGCTACTCATTCAAAACTTATTCTTTCTTTTCACTTAAGAAAGCAATTTGAAATAAATATACAGAGAGAATAATCCAGTACAGGATGAGTGCAGATTTTAACCTACTGTAATCTGTCTAATCTAAACTACAGTATGTGTTTGATGTGTTTAATGTAATTCTAATGAAATCAAATGAGGTAATTGGGTGTTTAATTTAAATTATTTCTCCTTGTAAATTTCCCATAATCTGAAAATTCACAGGGTATCTGTTAAAATGTCTCCCTTTAGTGGTGCTGCAGGTTTGTTAACTGAACAGATTATCTGGTTTGTCTCATACAGAACTGTTTCTCTGGACACCAGCACAGAGCTGGCCGGTCTGTGGACATCCATGACAGAGCCTTCATCTCTGTAGGGCCTTTTATCTGGAAGGACAGGTGAACATTCACAATACACTTGCACTATTACAACAGAAATAGAAATTCAGCAGAAAGAAAAGAAAGTGTTACTGGCCCTAAAAAGAGGTTTAGTTATTACAATAAATAAATAAATACATAAATGAGTAAATACACTGTCTTTGTGATAGTTTTCACTCAGTTCTATGGCCAGTGTTTAAGAATCAGTTTGCTATTAAAAAGATGTCTTATATATAATTCTATAGTGGGCTATGAAGCTATGATGCCCCTAACAGCAATTTACTAATACCATTATAAACATTTACTAATACCGTTATAAACAGACATTGGAGGAAGTTTAATGCTCATAACTCTTTGATATTGCAGTCATCGGCTGCAGTTTCTTTAATGCAATTTTATTTTGTCTTGACAGATGAGTGAAAACATCAAGAAGTCCTTCTGTGCATGTATCTCTGGTCATTCTTCTCATAGCTGTCCTGACTATTCAAATCCTCCCCTAATGACAATCTGAAGACAATCAAAATATGTGATTCTACATTAAATTAATCTTCATTTGACTGGGTTTAGTACTAGAGTCTCATTTTGACCATGAAGGATTTTTTTTTATTAATAGAGACCAAAGTTCTTTCAAGATATATAAAAGATATGTTAAAGCTTGTAGAGTGGACATCAAACATCTGTCAGAATGATTACATGAGGGGCTGAATAAGCAAGTGAGGATATTTGGAAGGTCAAAATGCAGACATTATAGTCATAGTTATATAATACACAAAACATTCTTTTCTGAAAGCAGCGTTTAGCATTTCAGATCATACTATATGGGTGATAATGGAAATTAACATTGGGTGCTGAACAGGTTGATTGGTGTGAAATATATGCCTTTTCTCTCTGCAGTAATTCCATATTGTTTATCTTATTTTACCTCTTCTTTCCCTAAGTGTGGATTATAATATCATATCTGCCATTGTCTTAACACTACATTTGGAAAATCATGGTAAATCACTTTATTTTGTAAATCACAGCATTTTTCCAATAAATTCCTCATCAAACTGTGTCATCATAGAGATGATTAATGTCAGTGCTTTCATAATAATGTTATCAGCTTTCTAATTTCTCTGAACTTAATAAAAATGAATCCTTCACAAAATGTGTCATTGGTGTTATGACAGACAGAGGCTGCTAAGGACTCAATCTTTTCAGTCTAGGTGGTTATTTGAAAAATGCCACGATACATAGAAGTACCATTCCTAACAATCAGTGCTGTGATATGTTTTTGCTCCTGCTTTGTCATATTCACACTGTGACACTGATGTTAAGGTTCTGCTCTTCCACAGCAGCAGTGTTTGCCTCTGATCCTCTAACATGAGTGAACTGTGAGTGTGAGTTACAAGCCTGGTTTCTTGAAGTATATATGATGAAAATAACATGAGACAAACAGCACAAGACCAGCCTGTTCAGAAACAATGAACATCATCAAACATGAGAGCAGCATTCAACAAATACCAGTCTCCAAAATTAAGATATATATATTTTAACCACAGAGCTAGACAATATTACATATTACTTATGAACATAGTTTACTACATTTGCTTTATTGCTTTATTGCCAGTAAGACAGCTGTGCTAGCTAAACATCTAGCTTTAGCATTTGAATGTAGTTAACACCAACATTATCAGTCAGCTGATGTTTCTGTCAGCCTAAAATATGAAGCTACACTCAGGTGTACAGTTTGCTAAAACTGTATATTTGCATTAGAGACACTGCACCACTGGATTGCATCTGGACCACTGCAAGGTAAAATAAACCTTTACTATTTGAATCTCCATTGTTCACGATGTACAGTGTGTGCAGTTGCTTTGTTGTTGCTTTGGGCTTTAAGTGAAGACAGCACCTGGGTTCAACTTGAAGGAACAGTTTGTTTGTAAAACCCCCCACACCTCCAAAGCTAATAGCTTTAGTGCCACAAATTTAAATACAGCCATAAACTGGGATAAAGTCAACACACAAAATCTCCATTTTACAACTGTCAGGGCCCTCTGATGAAGGGCATCCAGTATGTGCCCCCCCTTCTTGTGGGCCCAGCAGAGTGGTGCTTAACCTGAAAAACTTAAATTTCTAAAACTTATATCAACTCCAAATGCCAACTAATCATCCTGGGTTGTCATAAGAAGAAGAGTCAATCTGAATACGAAAGTAACATGATAGTTGTGATGTGGCAACAGAATACAGACGCTCGCGGATGTAAAAAAAAACGATAAGTTTAATTGAGTCAGGCAAACAAAGCAAAAAGGGCAGAGCTGAAGTCAGGGTCAAAAAAACAGGCAAAAGGTTCCAAAACACGGGTCAGTCAAAATCAGGCAACAGTACAAAAGGATCAGGTAAAAAGACAAAGTCGAGGTGAACAAAATGGAGGTCAGCAATATGGAAAACAGGCAGTCAGAAAACAAACTCTCAGTAGGTCATAACGATACGATACTTCGCATTGATCCTAACTAAAGCCCGGGCTTATAAAGGAAACTAAGTAGTCATATGACCAAGTTCACAGGTGGGGGAGTTTGAGCGCTGATTGGAGCGCAAAGGAGAGTCAGGAGTCATGTGATCTCCCCTTGAATTGTGGGCAATGGAGTCCATGTCTGAATCTGAGTTGGAGGGAAGTTGCTCGGTCACGTGACCTCCCAGAGGAGTCTGGGAAATGAAGTCCATATCCTTGTCAGAGTTCGCTGAATGCATGACAATAGTTTTATTGTGAACCATTATAAAATTATCACCTCATAATGAGATTGATATTTTAAACATAGGCCCATAGCCCCACCAAATGGTGGAAAAATAATATGTCACACCTTTACAAAAATGTTCTTTTTTATGAACTGAAATGCTTTTGTTTCACAAGTTGCACAAGGATGGTTAAAACCTCATACCATATAAGTATATCATATCATATAAATGATATTACTCTTGCTGTACTAGTTTGACTTGTCCTGTCTACTGTTCTACATGGTTTTCTTAACATACATCAATGTCATTATCAGTAGTTTCTAGAAGTATTGAATGTTTAGGGTATGTAACAAAATGTTTTGTTTTGTTTTCTGCAAGTTTCGAGGGAATAATTTAGACTGTTATGGTATTTGAAACTTGTTTGTCCCCAGTAATGCTCATTTATTCAGTTAAACAAATCAGATTTAGTCAAAATAAAGAAATAGACAATTTCTTGTGGGCAGTTCATAGACCATGTACCACCAATCAAATTTGAGAACACTAAATAGTAATCACCTCCAGTTGGACCAAGAGTTGGGCTAAGGCCAGAAAAAATCAGAAAGCACAGGGATTTCAGGCAGAAGGAGAAAGAATGAAGAAGAGTTAGAAAAAGTCACAAGAAGAAAATGATGTTTAGTGCCAGCTGGGGCTAGAGGGTAGAACGTTTACTGTGTGATCTGAGAAACTTGTCTTCTGTTTGTCTCCATGTTTGTTTCATTTATTTTCATGCTTGCTGTAAGCCTGTTCAAGCTATACTCAGAGTTGAAGTCTGTTGCACAGGAAAATTAGTTTAGAGGTAGGATCACGCAGCCTTAAAACCTGAGTGTATTCAAAACTGGAATCCTGATGTGCCTTTTTAAGTCCAACCTGTTCCCAAGAGCCGTGGAGCCACACTAGCTGTGCCTGCCACACAACCAACAGCCTGGCTAACCAATGCACGTGTCACCCCAAGCAGGCTCATCACCCGGGAAGCATTGAAGCCTCCCTCCTTTGTGATTGCCGCTACGCATGACCCAGCCAGACCACCTGCCTGCCCTGCTGCTGCAGTGAAGCTGCTCTGATCATTGCTGACTAAATCAATGGTGCTAGAGTTTCTCCAGATCAATCCGGGGCTCAGGGTTCTACACCAGTACCTCTCACAGCTGATCGTGGAATATCTAGGAGGGAAGAAATTTCACTAACTGACTTGTTGCAATGGTGGCATCCTATTACAGTAACCATGCTTGAATTTGCTGAGCTCTTTAGAACATCGCATTCCTTCACAAATGATTATAAAAGCAGACTGCATGGCTACGTGCTTTATTTTATACATCTGTAGCAATGGGACTGGATGAAACATCTAAATACAATGATTAAGATGTGTGTCCCAATACTTTTGTCCATATAGTGTAAGTACTTTATTTTTGTATTATTCAGAATGATATGGATATTTATCAGCTGTTTCTAATGCCTTCTGCCCAATGACTACTGGGACCAAACAGGGACACAGTAGGAGATAATCAACCTTCTGCTACAAAGGTTACACAATGG